GTGTGTGAGTGAGAGTGTGTGTGTGTGAGAGAGAGTGTGTGTGTGAGTGAGAGTGTGTGAGAGAGAGAGAGAGTGGAGCTTCTTTTGTCACGCAAATGATGTGTGTCATGAGAGAAGAGCTCAGGTGCGTCTGTGTCACTCATGATGCTCTTCATACGGATTATGATCGCTCTCAAATGCTTCTTTTTCTTCATGCTTGCCTCCTATTTTCATAAAAAGTACTTGTTGTTCTGACACTTGGTTACATGCAAATGCTGTGTTCATTGTGATTTGTGTGCAACCTAAACATGAAAACAGCTGATTCTCGCTCTTCCAAAGCTTCTCCGGTGGTTTTTAGTAGCACTTCAGTTCAGTAAACAACTCGTTATCAAAGTCACTTTAGTCTGCGTGAAATGAAATGTTGAAATGAGGTTCTGGAGATCCGTGGCCTCTGAACAACCAGCACAGAGCAGCTCGGATGTGTGTGTCACGACTGAACACAAAACACTCTTGATTCTGTCCTTAGAGCATTCCTGCGCATGAAGAATACTTGGATATGAAGCGTTTGATTCAAGTATTTTAATGAAATGTTCAGCTCCCTCTCTCACATCTGAGTCTGAGGCTTTTATAACCGTTTCTATGGGAACTACATTTGTGCTGTAGTGCCATGAAATTACATAAATGCTTGTTGCAGTGGAATGGAATGATTGTTTGTTTGGTTTGTTTATTTGTGTTTCTTTGAGTATGTGGTTTTATTAATATTTGTATTAATACTAACTAATAGTATTATGAAAGTTTAATAATGCAGTTTTAATCATGTATTTTTCGTAGTCCTCAGCACACTTACATTAATCACGTTAATAACCTTACTATTGTTGTTATTAATATCCCGCATCTATTAATACGCGAAGCTCCTCCCTCTAGTGTGACGTGTGAGGTGAGCGCAACCGTTTTGGCATTTATGCAAATGAGATGTCGCTTTAGCCAACCGCGCTGCAGGCCGTCCCCGCGCGAGCCAATCGCTGCACTCGACTGTGACTCGCCATATAAGGAGCGAGAACTCCAAAAAAGGAAACAGCCTATCTCTTTATATGGAGGAAAGTAGATCGGCCGTGTATAGATCCCTCCGCGCTGGCGTTGCGAAGCGTCACATAAACTCGGCGATTGACAGCTGTCAGCGGCGGGACGCGGAGTTGAGGCGTTCGCGGCGCGTTAATGGAGAAGAGCGCTGATTTGACGCGTTCGCGGCGCACTAGATGACGCGGCGGAGGGATCGCGGAAGCGCTAGTGCGGTTTTCCTTTTAGAGAAAGCGCGTCTTTCGCGGAGCTCCAGGGGGAGGTGAAGCGGGAGTGAAGCCGGCTGGAGGCGCTACGGTTCAGGACTCTGCTGGTGTATGAGCGCCGCTTCGGATCTCGCTCTCTCACCGACTGTCGCTCCAGCGCTCCGCCGCCATACGGATCGTTCTCTCCGGTTTCTAGGATGTTATCCAGCCAGACCGGAGCGGCTCTGAGTGGAAGCGGATCAGCGGCGGGGAAGAGCGCAGGCCACGGCGCGGTGGTGATGGGCGCCGGGGTCCGCGCGGGGTTCGCTCGGGGGCTGGGGCCGATGGGGCTCGGGATCCCAGGGAGGTTCGAGCCGGATAAAGAGGGACCCCCGCACCTGTGCAGCGGCTCCGACGCGGACTCTGACTCCGGCGATGAGGACGAGCTCATGGGGTCAGTCGGGGACAACCGGAGGGGAGGCGGCGTCAAGCGGGAGAGAGCGGAGATGGAAGCCGCGATAGTGGGACCTGAGGCCGGCTTGCCCTCCGCGGCGCTCGCGGCTGGAGCGGCCGGAGCGAAACCGGGCAAGAAGACCCGCGGCAGAGTGAAGATAAAGATGGAGTTTATAGACAACAAACTGCGACGGTACACGACCTTCAGCAAGAGGAAGACGGGCATCATGAAGAAGGTGAGAAACTATCACGAAGAACTAGCAGATCATTCAAACAGGCACTAAAGTGGTGTTAAAGGTCATGGCTGGTTACTGAAAGTTTGTAGGTTCGAGTCCTGCTAGAGAACTGCATAACTGAATAGGATAATGAAATGAAAATACATTTGAGCGCGCGTAAAGGCGACAGGAAAGAACGTCATGAAAGTAACATCAGTTGTTTCTCCTAGAGCTAAAGACTTTTGAATGTTGCAATTAAATGTTGCGTTAAATCCAATTATGTTATATTAAAATCGATACAATTTCTAACATTTTTAAAAAAGTGAATATTTATTTTTTTTTTAATTTCAATGTAAAATAAAATATTAAAAAACATTTTTTTATTTTGTTATAAATTAATATTTTGTTCATTTTTATGGGATGGTGGGCCAAATCAAAAGTCATCATGGGCCCACTTTGGCTCGCAGGCCCTGATTTGGGCACAAAGTACTCAAGACGCTTGTCATTCTTCTGAGCTGCTCCACATTAGTTTAGAGCTCTGGACTCTTACTGTATGTCACTGTTTTTACTCCTGGTGGAGAAAATAGGCCGTCAGGTCTCCAGGAGTATCTGGAGCAGTGGGTTTGCGTGGGTCTTGTTCTTCGGCTCGTGAAGTCTCTCTGTGGTGTCCCATCCTTCGGGAGGTGATCTGAAGTCACAACAGATGTGAGGGGCTGTGAGCTTTAAATAGAACGAGCCACTGACATTCTCTATTACACACAAACCTCGAACCATCATGACCCACATAATCTCAGGCCGCCGAAACAACTGAGGAGATGCTTAGAAAGTACACATTTTGGGAACGTTTTTTTAAAGCAATGCTACTGTAGTTAAACACAAATTCTCATATTGTTTGCTCACCTTCATGTAGTTCCAAACTTGCATGTTTTTTTTTTCTTCCATAAAGCACAAAACGACCATTTCAAAAAAATCTATATGCAGCCCTTTTTATTCCAAAAATTCAAGTTCCACAAAGCACTATTACAATAGTCCGTATTACTCATGCACTGTATTTAATTTCATATGTTTCACAGAATATAGAAAAGCACAGAAATGCTTTGATAGTACTTAAATAGTGTTTGATGGTTGTATGTAAAAGAGCAGCATGAACATTACGCTCAACATCTCCTTTTTTGAGTTCCACAACATGATGACAAGATGTTCGTCTTTGAGTGAACAATCACTTCAAAGGAATAGTTCAGCCAACAATGATACTTTTCTGAAAGTGTGCTCATCTTCAGGTCATCCGAGATCAGGATGAGTTTGTTTCTTCATCAGATTTGGAGAAATGTAGCATTGCATCAGTGTCTCAGCAATGGATGCTCTGCAGTGAATGGGTGCCGTCAGAATGAGAGTCCAAACAGCTGATAAAAACATCACAATAATCCACAAGTAATCCACAGCACTCCAGTCCATCAGTAAACATCTGGAGAAGACAAAAGCTGAAACAAAAGCATTAAGACCTTTTTAACTAAAATACATAGAGTCCATAATCCATAATAACGCTTCCTCCAGTGAAAAAGTGTTCTGATCTGAATCAGGAGAGAAATCTGCACAGATCAAGCAGCGTTTACAAGCCATGGATTATTGTGATGTTTAGACTCTCATTCTGACGGCACCCATTCACTGCAGAGGAGCACATTTTCACTGTTGGCTGAGCTATTCCTTTAAGATGAAGTAACAGTCCCCGTCATTGGCTGTAGTTCAGCATGTCTGAGGATCTTTCATAAGCCGGGCAAGAAGACCCGCGGCAGAGTGAAGATAAAGATGGAGTTTATAGACAACAAACTGCGACGGTACACGACCTTCAGCAAGAGGAAGACGGGCATCATGAAGAAGGTGAGAAACTATCACGAAGAACTAGCAGATCATTCAAACAGGCACTAAAGTGGTGTTAAAGGTCATGGCTGGTTACTGAAAGTTTGTAGGTTCGAGTCCTGCTAGAGAACTGCGTAACTGAATAGGATAAGTAGTTATAGAAAGGTTAAATACAAAGTGCATCAAGAAGTAAATACATGGGAAGGAAGGTAACACACATCAGTTGCTTCTCCTGGAGCAAAGACTTCTGAATGCAAAGAGCCAAAAATCAAACTTGATTGAGGGCAGTGTACAAAATTAAATGTTGCATTATATTCAGTTATTAAAATGTATAAAAGTTCTAACATTTAAAAAAATAATGATCAATTAAATAATATATTATAAATAAACAATTAAAAAAAATCTAATTCACTTATATTGTTTTTTAAATTTCAATGTAAAAATAAAAAAAAATTAAAGAAAGGAACAAAGATATGCTTAAATGGTATTTTCTTACTTTTTGTAAGAAATTAATGTTTAATTAATACATTTATTTATTTTCTGTAATTAATTATTTTAATTATTAAATTGTATTTATTTATTTATTTTCTGTAATTAATTATTTTAATTAATATATTTTTATTATATTTATTTATTTATTTATTTTCTGTAATTAATTATTTTTAATTCATAAATTGTATTTATTTTCTGTAATTAATTATTTTAATTAATACATTTTTATTTTTATTTATTTATTTTTATGGGATGGTGGGCCAAAGCAAAGGTCATCATGGGCCCACAGGGCCAGGTTTGGGCACCTAAAAAGTTCTCAATATGCAGACGTTTCTCATTCTTCGGAGCTGCTCCACACTGGTTTTAGAGCTGGTTTTAGGAGTTTTTACTCCTGTTAGAGGAAGCAAGGCGTCAGGTCTCCAGGAGTATCTGGAGCAGTGGGATTGCGTGGGTCTTGTTCCTCGGCTCGTGAAGTCTCTCTGTGGTGTCACATGTCCCGTGCTTCGGGAGGTGATCTGAAGTCACAACACATGCGACGGACTGTGAGCTTTAAATAGAACGAGCAACTGGCATTCTCTATTACAGACACAGCTCTGGTGCTGCACAAACCTCAGGCCGCCTAAACACTCGACTAACTGAGTGTAATTGCTTTGTTTGGAAGAGACAGTCACAACTGAGAAGATGCTTGGAAATCTTTTAAAGCAACAGTTCACCACAAATTCTCTGATTGTTTGCTCGCCTTCCATGTCGTTCCAAACTTGCCTTTTTTTTCCGTGAAGCACAAAATAACCATTTAAAAAAAATCTTTATGCAGCTCTTTTTTATTCATAGTGACCATGACCTCCAAACCATAGTCCATATGACTCGTGCACCAAGTTTCACTTCATATAATATCATATGCTTACAGAATATAGATCACGAAGCATAACAAGTGCTTTTATACTTACTGTAAATGGATTTTGACGGTGAAAGAGCAGCATGAACATTACGTTCAACATCTCCTTTTTGAGTTCCACAACAAGAGAAAATGATAACAAGATGTTCATTTTTTGAGTGAACTATCACTTTAAAGGAATAGTTCACTCAAAAATGTAAATCTGCTCACTCTCTGACCATCCCAGATTAGGATGAGTTTGTTTCTTCATCAGGTTTGTAGAAGACACCGATGCAATGCTGCATTTCTACAAACCTGATGAAGAAACAAACTCATCCTGATCTTGAATAGCCCGAGCACATGTTTATTTTTTGGTGACCGGTTCCTTTAAGATGAAGTAATAGTCCCCGTCATTGGCTGTAGCTCAGCTCATGGTGTCTCTCTCGGGTCCTCCTCCTGATCATCATGATGGATTGGAAGGAGAGAGCTGATAGTCTTCCTGTGGGAAGGGAATTCTTCCGTTTATTACGGTTTGAGAAAGCGGAGGAATGAGAGTTTTTCTGAACCTGACGCCAGCCGTTATCTGAAGCTCACAGGGGCCCTGAACAATTGATCATTTTGTGGTGTTTTTTTTTATTTTGTTTTTTAAGAGTAAAAGTTCATTTCCTTCCAGAGAGTTCCAGAGATCATTCCATTCTGTGATGTCCAGTCATCGGTGAATTCCTGATTAAAAGGCTGGTTTTGGGCAAAAGGCGTCCCCATGAGTCGTAAAGCTCAGACAAATGTGCTTTCACTCGACACATGCTGGATGTTATGTTAGCTGTAGCCGTCCTCGACAGCTGAGCAAACGCAGAGCTGATGCTGAGACGAGCTCTTCTGCTGCTCTTTACGGCTCTCACACGCTTCCCAGCAGACTCCAGGCCTCACAGGAGAGTTCAGTTCAGTGTTCTGATGAGAAATGCCCTGCGCACTGCAGAACACTGAATTACACCCATTTAAAATAAAGTTTTTGCACACTTTTTTAAAGTAAAATTTAAGTGTGGAATCAAGTAAAATCTACTTAACTAAGTTATGTAAGATTAGCAAAGGAAATAAATAAATGTAACATGGCCAGTTAGAGTTTGATGAGTAATTTCTACTTCGTTATTTTTATGTTAACTCTGCAATACTCAAGTAAATTTCACACGGTCACGGTTACTCAAACAATATAGCACTGAAAAAAAAAAAATCATGCTATTAAAGCATGTGGTTCACTTACAAACATCTTTATTTGACCCTCTAACTCTACACTGTAAAAAAAAATCCGTAAAATTTACGGTAAAAAAACGGCAGCTGTGGTTGCCGGAATTTTACCGTAAAAAATACGGTAGCAATGTTTTAGGTTTTACGGTTTTAACTTAAATTTACAGTTAAATACTATTTAACTGAAAATAATGAAAATAATTTCATTAACTGAAATAATGTTAATATACCAACCTATTGAAGTACTGAAATCTGTTTTGTTCCTTTGTAATACACTGATAACCACCAAATGCAGGAGGTGATGAGAAAGTCACACGATGAACCGAAGCCCATTTTTATTTATTATACAATTAACAAAAGGTAACAATCAGATGACAGTGTTTGAGTAAGAATGTGTCATTTTGAGTAGAAAATGAACTCCAGATGTCACAAAAGCGTCTATAAAACAGTGTAAATACAACTAAAAAACTGTGAAAAATGTACCCTTATTAATTATTCACTCCCCAGTGCATGATGGGAACAACAGGATCATAACTTTGATATTTACTTAAAGAATCCTTGTAAACATAACAAACAATTCCAAGTACTTGTAAGTTCAAACTTTAATTTCTACACGCTTAATTTGAGAATTAATATAGAATTTACTCCATTTTTTAAATTCTTGCGTGAACTAAATTATTTAGTGTAGAAATTACATTTGTTTTTCTGTAGCATTTACTTCACTACAAAATCATTTTTATCAGTGTATACTCAGAATTTTTGTCTTGGTTTGCAGTACAAAAAATTAATCTGAAATTAAGTTAGATTTAGCAAATAAGCATAGAAAAAATGAATTGAGTTTATACATAAAACAATCATGGTTCCTTTCAATCCCTTGGAATCAAGATTATTTTCTGATCCCATCAGCAGGTTACTTTTGTTTTAAGTATAAACTCTCTAAATGTTAATAAATGATCATAAAACATGACTTTATATCTTTATCTATTTCATCTAGTGGAAACGTTTGGTACTGCGCCCAAACAAAATCTTACTTGAAAGCTCTTTTTTTGTTTTTTTTGAGATATCAACCTCAAATTTGGAACACAACTGTTTTTGCCCATTTTTCACAATAATAAAAACTTCTATAACTCTTTTTTTAACTGCTCAGTAATCAAAGCATCTTCTCTCAGAAGAGGCCAAACTTAAGTCTGCGCTCCAAAGCATTCATGATTTACCACAGTTTAAGTTTTCACAAAAGTACCACAAAAATATTAAATAAAAAACATTATCAAACTGAGAAAGAGTAAATTAGTTTCAATTTGTAACTTAAGTGTTTGTGGCTCATTTGGTTTCACTTCCAGTTATTTTAGCAAGTCTATGCAGCTTGATATTGGAAATTGGTATTTGTTATTTAAATTCGTTATCATAATCATAAACACTGGATTGTAGTGCAGCTAGTTTCGCAGTTTACTGCATGTTTTCCGTCTTAGTTCTTTACCGAATGAATCTGAAGTCTCGCACATTCACGGAAAGCAGCTTGGAAGTGATTCAGCAGAAGGTGTTTGGGTTTCTTGAGATGCTCGCAGACAGCTTGAGCACGTGATGCTTTGTTCTTCAGAACAGATGGAGATCATTTCATTCCTGACCCAGCAGCTGAAGAGAAACGATGCTGTTTCACGAAGTTCCTCTCGCTTTACTCTCATAGTCTTTGCTCTGGTTCTGTTGACCAACAGAGTCCCTTATAACAACATCTGTGCTCAAACACATCCTAGAACTCATTAAACCCTGTGTATTTTATATTATTATGCATCGTATGGTATATTTGATGATTAGTAAAGGTCATCATTGATACCCTGATGAATAGGTTACTGCAGCTGCTGTGTTGGTTAGTCTCTAGTCCAGCTCGATCAGTCTCACGCTGACCAGCGGCTCTATTAATAGAGTCTTATCTCACATCGTTTCAGCTGTTATCTGTTAGTAAACACTGACGTCTCCAGAACGAACGGCTGAGGAGCAAAAACATTACAAACGTCAGTTCAGTTCATCTCGATACATAAACGATTTCTGGAACTCTTTAGCACATTAACACTGTTATTCTCCTCTGAAATAAAGTCTGTCAAGTCACCTTTATTTCTGAAGCGCTTTATTAAATACAGATCATGTCAAACCAGCTTTGCTGTGATTAAACAGGAAAATAATGTTTCAATAATGCAAACTAAATTCAGTCCATCAGTTAACATCTGGAGAAGACAAAAGCTGAGACAAATCCAGCATTAAGACATTTATAACTAAAACACGAGTTCATAATCCATAATAATGTGAAAAAGTGCATCTGCTGTTGTCTCTTACATCAAAATCCAGCTACATATTTGCTTAGAGCTGTTTAAACGCTGCTTGATCTGTGCAGATTTCTCTCCTGATTCAGACCAGAACACTGACTCACTGGAGGAAGCGTTATTATGGATTATAGACTCTCTAAAATCATCTTAATGCTGGATTTGTTTCAGCTTTTGTCTTCTCCAGATGTTCACTGATGGACTGGAGTGCTGTGGATTACTTGTGGATTATTGTGATGTTTTTATCAGCTGTTTGGACTCTCATTCTGACGGCACCCATTCACTGCAGAGCATCCATTGCTGAGACACTGATGCAGTGCTACATTTCTACAAACCTGATGAAGAAACAAACTCATCCTGATCTGGGATGGCAAAGTTTGATTGTGTTTATATGTGTGTGTGTGTGTGTGTGTGTGTGTGTGTGTGTGTGTGTGTGTGTCTCTGAATGCTGAAGATCCAGTTCACACATTCATGATGGGCGGCGCTACATCACATGCCGGCATCATTCTCTCCCAATCAACTCGCAGCGTTTCACACAGACGCGAGCTACTCAAAGTGAGAGAGAATGACACACACACACACACACACACACACACACACACACACACACACACACACACACAGTGTGTGTGTGTGTGTCTCTGAAGGCGTACGAGCTCTCCACGCTCACGGGAACTCAGGTCCTGCTGCTGGTGGCCAGCGAGACGGGGCACGTCTACACGTTCGCCACGCGTAAGCTGCAGCCCATGATCACCAGCGAGACGGGCAAAGCTCTGATCCAAACCTGCCTGAACTCCCCGGACTCTCCGCCGCGCTCCGACCCGTCCACGGACCAGCGCATGAGCGCCACGGGCTTCGAGGAGACCGACCTCACATACCAGGTGTCCGAATCCGAGAGTCTGGGAGAAACCAAGGTGAGTCTGCGGCTCTTCGGCATTGAGATGTTCTGCTGTAGAGGTGTGTGAAATATATCGTCTGCGGTAATACTGTAATTGTTATTTTAACGATGAACGATTTTACATTATCCAGTATTTTGCAAAAACCAAACAAAACACCTACAGAGCGCACGCTTACATTACGTGAAGTCTAGACTAGTGCGCGTTTTTCACTGCATGATTCAGTTTATTAAAATACATTTAGATTAATCACAAGTTCAGGATATGGGGGCAGAAAATGTATATACAGTATCTCACAGAAGTGAGTACACCCCTCACATTTTTGTAAATATTTTATTATATCTTTTCATGTGACAACACTGAAGAAATGACACTTTGCTACAATGTAAAGTAGTGAGTGCACAGCTTGTATAACAGTGTAAATTTGCTGTCCCCTCAAAATAACTCAACACACAGCCATTAATGTCTAAACCGCTGGCCACAAAAGTGAGTACACCCCTAAGTGAAAATGTCCAAATTGGGCCCAAAGTGTCAAATTTTTGGGCGCCCACCATTATTTTCCAGCACTGCCTTAACCCTCTTGGGCATGGAGTTTACCAGAGCTTCACAGGTTGCCACTGGAGTCCTCTTCCACTCCTCCATGACGACATCACGGAGCTGGTGGATGTTA